CAGGACCCGTGTCAAACAGTGACAAATAGAAGTTAGAGAATACTGGTAGCATCCCATTGACCCGTGAACACACTGGAGCACTATGGGTAAAGCTGCTGCCCCGTCTCTGGCTTCCGTCTCCACAGGTCCTCGTGAGTGTGAGCCACGTGTGCGTTACTCCAGATGTTTTTCAGGAAAAGTGTTACCTCTGTGGTTTCCTGGTGTTCATTTCTAACACAAACTCCCAGGGCCGGGCACAGAGGGACACACCTGTAATCTCCACTATTTCACAGCTGGAGGCCGAAGGTAGGAAGACCTCAGTCCAACCCAACCCCTCCTATCTGAAAAGAAAAAGCTGGCGCTGGTGGCTCACGCCTGTCATCCTAGCTACTCAGGAGGCTGAGATCTGAGGATCACAGTTCAAAGCCAGCTCGGGCAGGAAAAGTCCGTGAGACTCTTGTCTCCAATAAACCACCAGAAAACCAGAAGTGGTGCTGTGGCTCAGGTGGTAGAGTGCTCGCCTTGAGCTGAAGAGCTGAGGGACAGTGCCCAGGCCAGAGCACGCTCTGGGCATGGGGGTGATGGCTGGCTACTCTACGCCCGCTCAGGCCCCCGGCCAGCTTTACTGGGGGTGTCCTCTTCCCTGCTCTGGGCCTCAGTTTCCCTACCCATCAATACGAGCAGGTAGGACCCAAAGCTCTCCCCTCTAGGCGTCCCCTGGGGGCCCGCCAGCCGGGGCGCTCGTACCTGGGGGGTCCCCAGCCGCTCTATGAGGGGGACCAGGTGCAGGGGGGCGTACTTGGCCTCCAGGCGCTTCATCCGGACCTCCAGGCGCTCTCCCTCTGCAAAGAGAAGCAGAGAGCTGGGGTGACACCCCGGCCGGGGAAATGCACGCTTTCTCCTTAGTTCTAGAAGCCGTTGGCGAGACGAGTCCTGCGAGCTGTGTGCAACGGTGGACGCCAGCTCCCCGTCCCGCGTGGGGGCCGGAACTGAAGCCCAGGAGCCACGCGAGGCTGAGGCCAGACCAGCGCAGGGCGGAGACTCCGCATCCCCGCTCAGGCACCTCAAAACCACGCAGGCACCCCAAAACCTTAAGTATTCAAAGTTTCCTTCCTTCCTTCCTTTCCTCCCTCCCTCTCCCTCCCTCCCTTTCCCCCCTTCCTTCCCTTCCTTTCTCCCTCCCTTCCCTGAGCTTCTGTGCTCAGGGTCAGCATTCTACCCTAGAGCCACAGGTCACTTCTTCTGTTTGTCTGTTTGAAACTGAAGCCTCTCACAGGCTTTCCTGCCCGGGCTGGCTTTGAACCAGGATCCTGAGGAGGCAGGATTATAGACGTGACTCCGAAAGTGTTCCATTCCGAGATCACGGCTGGTTTCTTACCTTTGATGTAGACTCTGGGCAAGATGTTCTGGAAGGGCGCGGCGTGGAGCAAGTCGCACACTTCTTCCTGAGACTACAGAGAGGGCGGAGATGGGAGAAAACCATTGGAACTTTTTATTCCTGAAATCTCGCGTGGCTAGACCCATCCAGATGCGAACACTTTGTGGCCTTTAGCGCTCCTAAGAATCAGAACTGGAGGCCGGGGCGGCGGCTCACGCCTGACACCCTAGCGACTCAGGAGGCTGAGATCTGAGGATCGCAGTTTGAAGGCAGCCGTGGCAGGAAAGTGTGTGAGACTCTTAGCTCTAGCTAGCCACCAAAAAAAAAGAAGCCAGCAGTGGAGCTATGGCTCAGGTGGTAGAGCACCAGTCTTCTATGTGTTTCACTACATGAGTGAATCTTTGATGCCCTGCAGGTGTTTCTTGGGTGAATTAATGAATTTTCTTGTCCCTATGGAGCTCTTTTCAACTATGACCTGGAACTCCGTCCCTCCGTTCATTCACCCAACGCATATTTATTAGCCACCAGGCAGTCTTCTAGGTGGTGCAGATAGGATGTTGAACAAGTTAGACTAGATCTCTGTCCGCATGCAATGTAAATTATAGCTGCTGCAGACATGGAAAAAATGAAGCAAACAAATTACAGATGATTTCAGATAGCAATCGAACATTGCAAGGTAAGAGGCTGGCGTGTGGCAGTAAGGAAGGAGTTAACTTGGGGTGCTTTAGGGAAAAATCTTTACACCAAATAGAGAATGGAATGAAGTAAGAAGGCTGGCTAGGTTGATAGGAGGTAAAGATGTTCCTGTGCAAAGGTCCTGGTGCAGGGAATAAGCAGAAGGGAATAATGGAACACACAGCATGGGGCCCTAGAGGTAGAGGAGCAAAAACAAATCATTGTTGGGATCTGTACCTATGGTGCCAACCTTGTGTGTGTGTGCATCCTGAGCTTGAACTCTGGGCCTGGACTCTGTCCTTAGCTTTTTCTCTCAAGGCTGGCAATCTACTGCTTGAGCCACAGCTCCACTTCAGGTTTTTTTTTTAGTGGTAAACTGGAGATAAGAGTCTTATGGATGGACTTTCCTGCCTGGGCTGGCTTCGAAAACTGTGATCCTCCGATCTCAGCCTCCTGAGCAGCTAGGATGACAGGTGTGCGCCATGGGTGCTGGGCGGCTTTTGTGCTAAGTGTGCTGGGCGCTGCAGCTGTCCAGGTGGTGAGCTCCTCCTTTATTTTCCCCGTTTCTCTCCTCTGAATGTCGCTTCTGTTCCTAGAGATGCCGTGCTGGGGGGGGGGCACAAATCCCCCACCTGCTTCGCTCTCGTCAGTGGGGGAGAGGGAGGGGAATGAGGACCAAAAAAAAGGCTCCCCTCATTCTCAACTAGAGCCACACACGGGCACCACGGGGCGGGCACTTGTGCGGAGGGAGACGTGTGCTTTGTGGCCCTGGGGGTCCCCGGCCTGCTTCCTGGATGCTCTGCCCCCACCCAGAGGTGAGAAAGAGGTGACCCCCCCCCGCAATGGGACAGTGCGGCCTTTGTTCCCAGGGTCCCCGGGGACCGGGGATAAGGCCCTTTGCACACGGAGGCTGCCAGCATCCTGACGTGGCGTCTGATGCAGGGGACCTGTGGGGTGCTCGTTAGCTGACACCTCAGCCTTGGTTCCCACGGCCCCCAAAGGCGGTGGGAGGGCCAGCGGGAGACAGGTTCCCCCTGGGGCTCACCCCCCACCCCATCCGATCATCACCTCAAACTGGGTTACCACTCCTTTGGTACCGGGGCCTCAGCCCAGGGCCCTGGCTCTTACTTTCTTTTCCCTCAAGACTGGCGCTCTACCGCTTGAGCCACACCCCCATCTCCGGCTTTTTAGTGGTAATCTGGAAATACGGGTCTCACGTACTTTTCCTGCCAGGGCTGGCTTTGAACTATGATTCTCTGATCTCGGGCCCCCCCCCCCCGAGTAGCTGGGATTACAGGCGTGAGCCGCCACCCCCTGGCTGGTAACTGTGTTTTCTGGGATTATCTGAAAACTCGTGGAAGGCGCCCAGCCTCTCCGCGCTTCAGTGTCTACACAGGTGCATCCTGCAGGTGCGTGTCCTCTGTGTGACCTTGGCAGTGAGATCCCCCCAATTGGAGCCAAGTCTTTAATACCGGCCGTATCACCTGTGATCCACACTACCTCCCTGCGTTTGTTCTGTGATGTTTTCTTCCAGAGCCAGGCTGTGCCCCACACCACTGCCTCCGTGGCTGTCCGCGGGGACCGGAGCCGGTGGTGAACACGAGCAGCCCGTAAGTACCATTTGCTCAGGCAGAGCATCCGAGTACTGAGATTAATCCTCACCATCCAACCACCACTGACTGAGCAGGATGAGAGGAGAGAAGCCCTTGCCCGAGGGCTGATGGGAAATCACTGTCCATGACGGGAACCCACCAGGTTTTAGGGATCAGGAATGCAAAAAACCAAGCCACAAAAACCTTACAGGAAGGACCACGCTTCCCACTTGGTTGAGATTTCCATGCCATTTTTGCGTTGCCTTCAGTTGTATTTTACCTCTTGGTATTACACTTACGTTAAAATGAACCTCGAAGCACTTGTGGCTCAGGCCTATAATCCTAGCTACTCAGGAGGCTGAGATCCAAGGATCTAGGTTCAAAGGCTGCCCAGCAGAATGAGAAATCTGAGAGACTCTTCTTTCCAATTAACCGCCTCCTAACAACAACAACAAAAAAGCTGGAGGTGGAGCTGTGGCTTTAGTGGTAGAGCGCCAGCCTTGAGCAAAAGAGCTCACTGCACAGTAGCCGAGTTCAAGCTCCACTAGCAGTGTGCGCACACACATACCGAAACAATGGATGGATTTCCATCAAAAACCTACAGTGTTCTCAACTTGCTTCATGTGTAAGGCTGAGGGCAGAGTTGATTTCTCTTAGCAGTAGGATATCGAGAAGGTTCTGTGTTCACGTAGAAAAACACTCTGTGTGGTCTATGGAAGACAGATTTTTGTGGGATAGCATTATACTATCTGTTGCTTCTATTCCTGAGTTAAAAAAAAACAAACACAGAAACCAGATTTACTAGAGGGATCTCATAAAAGCGATCTCAAAAGTTCTCCCCTTAAGTAACATTTAGCTCCGGATTCTGAGATGACACATGGCGGGAAGGAGTTATTCGTCTGTCTCTGTTGGGAGTGAGGGGGAGGGAAAGGGGCTGTGAACTGGACCATGTGACCCCCCCCAACATTCCCTTATATAGACACACACGGTGAATGCTTTCTGCAAGCTGCAGCGGCCAATCCCCGAGCCTCTTTATCTGCAAGAAAGCCGCAAGTGGAAGTATGGCTCACATGGTAGATTGCCAGCATTGGGGTGAGGGTTGGGGGGGAGGGGGAGGGGGAAGGGCAAGCCAGAGCCTGAAGCCCTGAGTTCAAGCTCTAGTACTGGCACATGCACTAAAAAGAAAACCAAAAGGTAGTGTTGAAGGCAAACGGGGAGACGCTCCGTTCTGACGCTGCTCACAAACCTTGCAGTGGGGTAAGAGCTCTCCCACATGATGAACTAGTTTTATGAGGAGTGCTAATATTCATGCCCGGATATAAAAACATCTGGAGAGCTATCCTTCAGAAAATGAGCTCTTTTGTTGGGGTTGTCAGTTGCAGGGCTTGAACTCTGTCCCTGAGCTTTTTTTGCTCAAGGCTAAACGCTCTACCACTCTGAGCCACGCCATCACTTCTGGCCTTCACGAGCTTCATTCGAGATAAAGAGTGTCACGGACTTTCCTGCCCAGGCTGGCTTTGAACTACGGTCCTCAGATCTCAGTTTCCTGAGCAGCTAGGATGACAGGTGTGAGCCACCGGTGTACAGATAGGTATTCTTAAAAAAAAAACCCAAAGAACAAAGGTTATCTGGGGCCACTGTTGGGTATTGGGGACGCTACTGCCACCGTGTGGTCAAGGCCAGGACTGCGGCTCCACAGCTCCGTTTACAACAGGATTTTCTGGTCCTAGAGGTCTGTCGGGATGGCCTAGTACTCTATAAGGAGGGACAGGGACCAATCCAGGGTGGGAGCCAGGCAGCCTCCTTCCCGGAGACAGACCCTTTCCCGCTGGCTGTGGGTGTCACTGTTTCCAAGCCCATGTCTGGAAAACCACACGCAGTGGGAAGGAAAGCTTGGGGATTCCTCTCTGTCTAGTGAGTGCCTGTTTCTCTCATTTTCTCAGGTTCATAGATAGAAGACACAGGGTGTTGATATCTCTAGTGAATCTTGAGAGAACCTTCGACCACCATGGGTGTGTGTGGACAATCCGCTCTGACCACGCTCGGATGGATGGGTGGGTGAGTATTTCTCACAACCAACAAGCTAGGCATATGTCACGTCTCTGTGGCCCTAGCACTCGGGAGGCTGAGTCAGGAGGATCAGGAGTTTAAGGCCAGTCTGGACTCTACAGTCAGACCTTGTATCTCATGAAGCGAATCAATAGCTTCTAGAGAGGAAACTTGACAATTATGAGAAAGTGAAATCGGGTTTTGGGGGACTAGTAGTAGACTCGATCTTCAGGACTACAGAAAACACTTTCCAAGTTCCAAGAATACCAAGGCTGGGAAGGTGGCTTAGTGGTAGAGTGCTTGTCTAATATGCACGAAGCCTTGGGTTTGGATTCCTCGGTACCACATACCCAGAAAAAGCCAGAAGTGGCACTGTGGCTCAAGTGTTTGAGTGCTAGCCTTGAGCAAAAGAAGCTCAGGGACAGTGCCCAGGACTGGCGAAAAAAAGAAAAGAAACTTGCCTTTAAGAACTACTGTATATCAAAAGACAAATCACACTATTTGCAATATATGTATCTGAAATAGATAAAACAAGGCCAATAGTCCAGTAAAGAAAACCCAATTAAAGACACAACAAGATCTGAGTGGTATCTTCAAGTGTGTCTCTATGGCCAAAAGGAGGTATCAAGACACACCTCAGAAAAACAATATATAATTTTATATAAATATAAAGAGGCACATGGGCATTGCACCTTTGCGATTCTCTCCGTGTGTGTGTGTGTCTCAAATCCCGTATAATTTATTGTATACCCAATGTACTTTAGATTTAATTTCCGCATGTCAGAGAGACCATGTACTGATTTGTCTCTCTTGACTTTGGCTTACCTCATTTAACCTGATTTGTTCTAGTTCTTGATATAAAATAACATGCATCAAAAACCAGGCAAAAATCAGTTATTCATTAAGAGGTGAAGAAATGCAAACTCCACTAGATTGCTGGGTGCGAGTATAAATCAGTACAACCAGTTTGTAAGCTAAACTGTGTTTATCTAATTAAAAAAAACACAAAAGAGCCTGTTTTTATCACACACCTGCACAAGAATTATTATTTACCTTTTTTTGTGCTGGTCCTGGGGCTTGAACCCAGGGCCTGGGCAACCTTGCTTGAGTTTTTGTGCTTAAAGGTTCGTGTTCTACCACTTGAGCCACACCTCCACTTTCAGCTTTGTGGTAGTTCACTGGAGATAAAAATCCCGTGGACTTTCTTGCCTGGGCTGGCTTTGAACCTCGACCCTCAGGTCTCAGCCTCCTGAGTAGCTAGGATGACAGGCATGAGCCACGGGCTCCCGGCACAAGAGATCTTATCCATGGCAGTACACTTGTGAACATGCCCGCCATACTTCCACAGGAGGGCAGGACAGACCTCCTCCATCAGAGCCGCACACCCGGGAGGGTGGGGGACGCAGGCCACCGCTAGGGTGGAAGTGGGAATCTTGGTGGCTCTGGGGCCACTTACGAAAGCAGTGTCAATGTCCTCTTACTGGACCGGGTGGGGATTACAGGGGGTTGCACCTGTACACTTCAGTAAGACTTAGGCGATGCGTTTTATGAGTTTTCGCCACTAACTTCTGCATCTTGAATATTGAGAGACTCGGGCCTAAACCCTGAGAAAATACACCTGTGTCCCAAGCGCCAGGCTTTTTAAATTACAACCCCTGTGCCTAGAAATGAAAGATATATTAACAATCTTTCCCTCTCCAAATTCAGCCAATATTGCTTTCTGTGTGCTCCATGGAGACTCAGCTCCTGATGAGTAGAACCCCCTCCTCCGGCCCCCCCTTCTCCTCCCCCCTCCCTCCGCCCCCCTTCTCCTCCCCCCTCCCCCTGCTCCTGAACACTGTTTCCTGCTTAGCCACAGGACTGCAGAAGGCCGCGTTACCATAGCAACCCAGGGGCACAGATCCGCGGCAGCAGCCTGGCATGGCGTGTGGGGGCACTGCCGGCCCGGCCCCCTGTGGACGATGGCGAGGCTGAGGTGGGGGAGTCCTGACCCCCCCCCGGGGTTCACAGGTGGCCGGCCCCCTCCTCCCTGCACCAGATCTCGTCCTCCACCCACTGTCCAGCTTTTCTCAGCCCCTCCCGAGGCCCCGGGGCTGGTCCGCTGGCGGACTCTCCACTGTTCTTCTTGGGGTCTCTGTTCCTCCCAGACAGTGTCTCTCCACCCCCCGCCCCTGCTGACACCCCGAAGCCCTCTGTGTTGTCTCTGCTCATCTTCCTCTCTCTCTCCGATGGAGACGGCGAGCCTCACTGGTTGCCGGCGGCTCACGCCTGTCATCCCAGCTACTCAGGAGGCTGAGATCTGAGGATCGTGGTTCAAAGCCTGTCTGTGAGACTCTTATCTCCAACGAACAACCAGAAAACAGGAATGGATCTGTGGCTCAAGTGGTAGAGCGCTCGCCTTGAGCTGAAGAGCTGAGGGACAGCCCCCAGGCCCTGAGTTCAAGTCCCACAACGGACAAAGACAAAAGATGGCGAGCCTCTTGGTCCTGGCTGTGGTCCACCCCAGAGCTGCGGCCAGTGGTCAGCTCAGCACGCCAGGATGAGCGGGACACCCCGCTGCACCCCTCCCACAGCCGGGGGACCCAGACCACCGCAGAGGCATGGCGAGTGGGAACCTGGGGTGAGCGCGGGGTACAGGGGTGTCCACGCTGGGGCGTGCGCTGTGTCCCCACCGACCTCCACGTCACCACAGAGCAAAGGCGAGGGGCGAACACACAGCTACAGCGCTGTCTGCTCAGCCCCAACAGGTAACAGATCCAACTCCTCCCCTAGCCTCCCTGCCTCCTCCTCTCCTACCACCCCTTCCTCCTCTTCCTCCTCCTGTGTCATCCTCTCCACAACCTCCTCCTCCTCTCCTCCTCTCTCTTCCTCTTCTTCCTCTTCTTCCTCCTCCACCTCCCTTTCCTGCTCCTACTCTACTCCTCTTATCCTTTTCTTTCTCCACCACCTTCTCCATCTTCCTTCCTCCTGTTCTTCTCTTCCTCCTCTTCCTGTCCTCTCTTTCCCTCTTCCTCTTCTCATCCTTTCCAGTTCTTCCACCTCTGCTTCTCACCACCTGCTCTCCTGTGCCTTTCTTCCTCCCCTTCCTCCTCTTCCTTGTCTCCCTCCTCCTCCTCCTCCTCCTCCTCTCCTTTGGTTGTCCTCTCCTCCACCACCTCCTTGTCTCCATCTTCCTCTCCTTCCTCTTCCGGCTCCTGTGAGCATCCTTCTTTCCTCTTCTCATTTTTGCCAATTCCTCCTCATTTCTTTGTCTTCCTCCTCCTCTCCCTCCCCTGCTCTCCCCTCCAGCCCCTCCTCTTCACCTCCTTTCCTCATCTCTTCTTCCATTTCTTTTCTCTCCTCCTCCTCCCTCTACTTCCTTCCCCTCTCCGCCTCCCTTCCTCTTCTCCTCCTCCCCTTTTTTCTTTCCTCCTCTCACCTCTTCTTCCTGTCCTGCTCCTGGGAGCTCCTCTCCCTCTCCTCCTCCCCTCCTCTCCTCCTCCCTTCCTCTCCTCCTCCTCCTTTGTCTCCCTCCTCTCCTCTTCCTGTCCCCTCCTCTCCCTCTTCCTGCCCCGTCTTCCTAGTCCTCCCTGTCTTCTCTCCTTCATCCTCTCCTCCACCTCTTCAGACTCCTCCCCATCCTCTTTTTTCCTCCTCTCCCTCTTCTCATCCTTTCCGATTCTTCCCGCTGCTCCTCCCCCTCCACCTGCCGCCTCCTCCTGTCCCCTCCTCCCCTCCTCAGCTCTCCTTCCACCCCTCCCTTCTCCCCTGCCTCCCCTTCTCTCCTCTTCCTGCTCCTGTGAACCTCCTCCTCTCCACTTCCTCTTTTCTTCACCCTCTTCCTGTTCTCCTCCTCCAACTCTCCCTCCTGTCACCTTCCTCCTCCATCTCCTCTTCCTCCTCTCTGGCTCCGTCCCTCTTCTCCTCCCCTTCTTGCCTCTTCCCTTTCCTTCTGTTCTTCTCTTCCTCCTTCCACCTCATCTTCCTCCTCATCTTTATATCCTCATTTCATCCCCTCTTCCTCTACTTCCTCCTCCTCCTCTGTTCTCCTCTTCCTGCTCTGACCTCCTCCTCCTCCTCCTCCTCCTCTCCCTGAGCCCCACACCCTCCTCCTGCTCCCGGGAGCATCCCTTTCCTCTTCTCCCCTCCTCCCCCTCTGCTGGGCCTACCATCCCTTCCTCTTCTTCCTCTTCCTCTTCCAACTCCCCCTTCTCTCCTCCCTCCCTCCTCCTCTTCTTTCCCCTCCTCTCTTTTCCTCACCTCCTCCTTGGCCTCTCCTTCCTCCTCCTCTTCCTTCCCTCTCCCCCCCTCCTCCGTGTCTCTTCTTTCTCCTCTGCATCCCCTCCCTCCTCCTCCTCTCCATCCTCTCCCTTCACATCCTCCTCCTCTCCGTCCACCTTTCTTCCTCCTCATCTTTCCCAATTCCTCCTCTTCCTCCTCTCATCCATCTTCCTGTCCTCCTCCTGCGAACATCCTCCTCTTCTTTCCTTTCAATTCCTCCTCTACCTCTCCTGACGCACCATTCTTCCTCCTCTCCTCCTGTCCTCCTCCTCCTCTTCCTCCTGCCCCTCTCTTCCTCTCCCTCCTGCCCCTCTCCTCCTCATCTGCCCTCCTCCTCCTGCTCATCTCCTCTCTTCCTCCTCCTCCTCCTGTCCTCCTCCTCTTCCTGTCCTCTTCCTCCTCTTCCTCCTGCCTCTCTCCTCCTGGTCTTCCTCCTCCTCTTCCTCCTGCCCCTCTCCTCTTCCTCCTGCCCCTCTCCTCTTCCTCCTGCCCCTCTCCTCTTCCTCCTGCCTCTCTTGTCCTCTCCTCCTGTCCTCCTCTTCCTGCCCCTCTCCTCCTGCCCCTCTCCTGTCCTCCTCCTCCTCTTCCTCCTGCCCCTCTCCTCTTCCTCCTGTCCTCCTGCCCCTCTCCTCCTCTTCCTCCTGCCCCTCTCTTCCTCTCCCTCCTGCCCCTCTCCTCCTCATCTGCCCTCCTCCTCCTACTCATCTCCTCTCCTCTTCCTCTTCCTCCTCCTCCTGCCCCCCTGCTCTTCCTCCTGCTCCTCTCCTCTTGTTCTCCTCTCCCCTCTCCTCCTCTTCCTCCTGGAAATATCCTTTCCCCTTCTCCTCACACTCCTCTACCTCCCCTGCTCCTTCCTTTACCCTTCTTCGCCCTCTTCCTCATCCTCCTCCAAGTCCCCCTCCTCTCCTCTTTTCATCCTTGTCCATCTCTCCTCCTCCTCCCCTTCCCTTCCACGTTATCTCCTCCTTTCTCCTCTCTGCTCCTCTCATCTTCAACTCTTCCTGTTGTTGTCTTCCTCCTCCTAACCCCTCAACTCTTCTCCTTCCTCCTCCTGCGCCCACGAACATCCTTTATTTCCCCTCCTTTCTAATCCCTTACCTCTCCCATATTCTCTTCCATTCTCCCTTCTACCCCTACTCTGCCTCACGTACTTCTAATTCCTCTTCCTCCTCTTCTTCTGTCATCCTCTCTACCACCTTCTCTTCCATTCCTCCTCCTCCTCCTATCTTCCTTCCCCTGCCTTCCTCTCCCTCTCCCTCCTCTTCCCCATCTCTTCCTTCTCCTCCTCCACCCATGCACACCGTTCTATGGTGACAGGTGACACGGGCAGGGCCTGGCCTGCACGGTGTCCACTCCCCACGTGCGGCCAGCGAGCGACTGGAGGACACGGCTGGCTGGCCTGGGGGCGGCCGCGGCGCGCGTGGGGAGCCAGGTCTGTCCACTCACCAGCGCCTGCTCGATGAGGAGGCAGAAGAGGATGGCGTTGCCCACCTCCCTGAGGCTCTGGAACACGTCGGTCTTGAGCTCGGCGTACTCGATGATGTCCTTCAGCTGGTGGTGGAAAAACTCCAGGATGCCTGCGCGGGGCGGGGCGTGGGGGCGTGGTCAGCGGGGAGCGGCCATGGCCGGCTGACCACACAGCAGCAGCAAACCCCGCGGCCCCCCTGCCCAAACTCGGATGGGGGGGAGTCCATACTAGAAAAAAGCTGGGGGAGCTGGTGCAAATCATGCCATGGAACAAAATAAAGCACTGAACACACACAAACGAAACAGCATGTGTCCATTCGTCCCCCCCAATGCCCCCCCCAAAAAAAAGCTGAACTCACAGGCTTTCCTGACTGCCTGCCACTCGTGAGCGTATCACAGAGCAGGCTGAGAGCGGGCCAGGGGCATCGGCCACCCTCGCACAGTCCTCGGCCTCACATCCCCCACTACACCACAGGCCCCAGACCATGGCCCCCATCATTCTCCAGGGACCTATTTCCGGCCCCACCTTAGGGATGTATCACTGAGTGAGCCCCTCCAACTGGGGACCCTGCCAGACGGGGTCCTCTGTGAACTGAGAGCACGCAGATCTCAACCTGCGACCCTCGCTGCTGGTGATTGAAACGGTCGGTCTGCCTGCAGGACCCGGGTCGGCAGGCAGGTGGCGCCCCTACCCCCCTCAGTGTGTGTGTGTGAGATCACTTCCAGCTCACTCATGGGGGGCAGGGTTAATTAGCACGCACAGCCCGGCCCCCACCACAACCCAAGTGTCCCCTCTTTCCCTGGCACCCACCTGGGGAGCCGTACTCATGTCGCGGCAGGCGGCAAATCTTGGGCATCACCTCGATCAGCGTCTTCACGTACTGGAGGATGGTGCCCTGCAGCTATGAAACAAGGGTAGCCGATAAGCCGGCTGGAGGCATGGAGGTTCCCTCGCTGAGGGCCCATCTGTACGGCACTTAGAGAGGCCGCCTTGGCTTACCGACTTTCCCAAGGGCACGTTTCTAAGGTGTGGGGCCTCCCCTGGGGATGGGGTTATTGTGACATCCAGACTTAAGAGCTAACACAAAATGTGGGCAGGGAACTGTGGAGATTCCATCCCACCACCTAATTTAAGCATGTGGAAATATATGGCATCTTTCCCTCTGCTAGGTCCAAGGCAGACATTACTAATCAATCACCACATTTTCCTGTTTTATCTTGCATTTAGTTTCACATACATAGCTGAAGCTAAGGAATTAAGGAGCTTGCTGGTGATCCCTGTTGTATTTCCAACGTAGTTCTACATGGCTTTTTCTTCGTGTCAGGTTTCTGGGGGGATGTGGTTTATATATTTTGGTTTTGCTTAGTAGAGTTGCAGGCAGTTAAGTGGAAATTAGATGCCCACACTAGCTTCCTTAATGCCAGAACAGTACTGGTAACTTGAAGGAGACAGAGTGGAGTGATTGATTAGAGATGTCTGCCGTGTGCAATGGAATAGAAAAACAACAGCACATACATTATGCGTTTACCTGCTCATATTGATATAATACTGGGGGGGAGGGAGTTTGAAATTATTAGCGGAGATCTTGTTTGTGTGTGTGCGCGTGCAAGTCCTAGGGCTTGAACTCAGGCCCTGGGCACTGTTCCTAAGCTTTTGTGCTCAAGGCTAGCATTCAACCACTTGAGTCACATGTCTACTTCTGGCTTTTTGGGTTAGTTGAAGATATGAGTCTCACAGACTTTCTTGCCCAGGCTGGCTTTGAACTGTGATCTTCAGCTCGCAGCCTCCTGAGTGGCTAGGATGACAGGTGTGAGCCACGGGCACCTAGCCTGGCTGAGATCTACCTTGATCAAAATCAGGGTTGCTGGGATTAGTGATCAAAAACAGGACAAAAGGAGAGCAAGCCTGGCAACCGCTGACAGGTAAACAGACACACACCGGAAGGACTCACAGGAACCACCCAGAGACCTAGGACCTAGGGCTCCTGGGTGATGTCTGAAGGGAGAGCTGTGGTAGAACGAGAAAGCCGGGCTTGTGGCTGGATGGATGAACTGCCTGCCCCACAGTGCACTGCGGTCTCCCTTACCAGGCTCTTGACGATCTTCAGCAGCTCCTCCATGACCACGGCGATGCCCTGGTAGCCCAGGAGCCGACAGATGGTCTTGAAGTGAGGGGGTCCCACGAAGTTCCGGTAGGAGCTGTAGATGTGGCTGTAGGCAATGTTGAGGGGCTGCAAAACAGGGGCAATGCTAAAGTAAGGGACTGAGGCCTGAGTGGACGGAGGTGGGACTGTGGCATCAGAGTCCCTCGCTGGGGCCACGTGGTCAGCGGTCAGCACATAGAACTTGGGCCAGGGCTTCCCGGCACACACGATCACAACAGGAATTCCTCCTGCCCGTGACTGCGCATGCACAGACCGGGCCGTTCCCACGCTAAGCCCTACAGGGCCGGCACAGAATGGCTGCTTTGATTCCTCCAGAGGCATTTTTGGGACCGAGAAACCAGGGCTGATTAAACCTCCTCGACTCTCGGCTTCCCGAGGGTGCCTTGGGAATGAACACCACGGGGCTGGGAGACAAGGAGGCGATCTCTGAGGGCCTGAGAAAAGTCAGCCAGGCCCTCCCCGAGCCTCGTCCTCATTCTCAGAGCAGCGTTCCAAAGCGAGAAGCCCGGGGGCGAAACTCAGCCCGGGGCGCTGTGCCGTGACCAGGGCGGGCTGTGAAAGCTGGCCCCAGGACCCGGCTCCCACCATCTCCTGGGGACCCCAGGAGACACCCGAGCTGAACGAGGGGGGACCTCTCTTGATGATGTCTTTCCGTCTGAGACGATGTGACCCCAATAGCAAGTCCCTGATTGTCTCGTTGGGTGGTGAGACTGTAAAGAACCAACTTCCCTAGTGATGTGTTTTTGTAATGTGATGTTTCCAATTCATCTACGCAACAAACGTGTATGATTCCGTAAACCCATTTCACAGACCAGGGTGGCTAGTGTTGCTGTGTGTGTGTGTGGGGGCAGGGGTCACATAATTTCTAGGCAGCAAAAGGCCAGTCTAAAGTCCAGGCTCTTACCTCTGCCGATGCTGCTACTCTCTGGATGGTTAATTTTTTTATAAACCAAACTCCTTTTCTTTTGGGGGGTGTGTGTATGTGTGTGCGCACATGCACGTGTGTGTCTGTGTGCTAGTACTTGAACTCGGGGCCTCATACTCCTGTTTGACTTTTTTTCCGCTCAAGGCTGGCACTCTACTACTTGAGCCACACTTCCACGGTTCTGGATTTTTGCTGGTTCACGGGAGATCGGTGTCTCCAGGATTTGTCTAACCCTGGCTGGCTTGGAACTTCAATTCTCAGAGCTCAGCCTGCCAAGGAGCTAGGGTTATAAAGGTGTGAGGTGCCGGTGCCTGGAAACACTGGAGATCTCACGTGCTCACCCTCTCTGTCTGTCTGTCTGTCTGTCTCTGTCTCTCTCCATGCAAAGATCTCTAAAATGGCCTTCTGTAACCCACAGCTCCTTATTCTGTGGCCTCGGCTGTGGCTTTGGACATGCAGCCCCGGGCTGTCTCAGCAGTCCGTTTGCACTGTTCTCCACGACCCTGCACTACAACAATCAAATACACACCCCACATCTGCTCAGGACAGAACCCACCCGACTGTCTCATCGCCACCTCCAAAGACCAAGAGGCGAAGCCTGCTCTGAATCCTGCCCTGCTCAAACCAGGACGCGGCAGGGGTGAGGCCCCGGCACCCACGTGAGTGGGGACGGCCCCCACGCTGCTCTCCACAGCAGACACTCTGGGTCTCCCCTCTGATCCCAGGAAAGCCGATTCTCCTTCACCTCCCTCTCCCATGTCCCGCGCAAGGCATTTTCAACTAGCGCAGCACACTCACGCGGGGAATTCTGGGAGACACAGGCAGTCGGCTACAGAAATCAGCGTTTGGGACGCCGCTCCTACGTGCAGAATGCACAGCTGTGAATATGGCTCTCTGGAACAACCCACCCAGTAAGCAGAGACTAGGAAGAGTGCAGCTTCCTGCTCAAACCTCCCCCAGGAGAGTTGGTTATGGTGAGGATTTCCGGAGAGGGGGACAGTGGAGGAGGGGATGTCACTGGGTCTGGATGATGGGACCTGATTTAAAAATAAATAAATAAAAAGAGCCAGGCACCGGTGGCTCACGCCTGTCATCCTAGCTACTCAAGAGGCCGAGATCTGAGGATGGCAGTTTGAGGCCAGCCCTGGGCAGGAAAGTCAGTGAGGCTCTTACCTCTAATTAACTACTAAAAAGCTGGAGGTGGGTGCTGTGGTTCAAGTGGTAGAACGCCTTGTGCACAAAAGCTCGGGGACAGCGCAGACCCTCAGCCTGAGGACGGGGGTGGGGCTGTGCTCTGTCGTCCCTGCCTGGTGCTAAGTCCACAGGGCTCTTGCTGGACATTTGTCCTTAGGCCTCCTCTACCCCCCCACCCCCCACCCCCCAGCAGCTTGTGGTACCAACTTTCCCTACACACACACACACAAAACATCGGTTCAGATGCGTGCCCTCTGTACCGCAGGTTTTCCCAGCTGTGGGCAGAGGGGAAATGTCTGGGGATTGCATGGATTTATAAACACCCCACCCCCAGGGCACTGGGTACGCGTCGGAGGGCCTCTGGCTGGCCTTCCCGTCCGTAGGAGATTCTGAGCCAGATGTTTTGAGGCCTCGGGGGCTCTGCCCACGTGATGGATCTCATGCAGGAAGAACCCTCGTGAGAGGCGCGGGATTCAGGGAGCACGCTCCCCCACCCCCCCAACTCCCCCAGAGACAGCACACGCGCATGCAGGAGGAATCGCACACCCATGCCACGCACCGCGCATGCACACGCAGCCCCGAGGCACGCTCTGACCTGCTGGCTCAGCAGGAGGCTGGGCCCCACTGAGAAGATGTGGGAATAGGGGAGCCGGGGCATTTTCTGAGGTTTGGCAAAGAAAAACAGGAATGCAATGTGACTGGCGATGCGTGCACCCCGGAGACAGCTCGCACCCCAGAGCAGCGCCGCTCACGGGGGACTCAGTTTCCCCAGGAGAGACTTCTAACAGACTCCTGCCATGAGGACCAGCCCATTCCAATTCGGCCGCACTCCACAGATCAGCAATAGCAAAACACAGACCAGCAATAGCAAAATACAGATCAACAATAGCAAAACACAGATCAGCAATAGCAAAACACAGACCATCAAGAGCAAACCACAGATCATCAATAGCAAACCACAGATCATCAATAGCAAGTCACAGAACAGCAATAGTAAAACACAGATCATCAATAGCAAATCACAGACCATCAAGAGCAAACCACAGATCATCAAGAGCAAACCCCAGATCGTCAATAGCAAATCACAGACCATCAATAGCAAACCACAGATCATCAATAAACAAACCACAGACCATCAATAGCAAATGAGCCCCATTGAGAACACAGAGCCACACCATCAACTGAGAGATAATCACATTTCCCCGAAAAGCAACAAACAGTATTTTAGAAAGAGAGAGAGAGAGAGAGACAGACAGACAGACAGACAGACAGACAGACAGACAGACAGACGGCTTGATCTAATAGTCTGTGGGCGCTGTAATATCTATAGAGGAACTTGGAGAAAACTTACGGTAGGAATATATGCTGTTTACCATTTTTACCTTTATTTTTTAAAACTCAGCGCTGCCCCTTAGCTTTGTTATTCAAGGCTGGCGCCCTACCTCACTTGAGCCACAGCTCCACTTCTGGCTTTTTAATGATTAATTGAACATAAAGAGTTTCATGGACTTTCCTGCCCAGGCTGGCTTTGAACCTTGGTCCTCCAATCCCAGCTTCCCGAGTAGCATGAGCCACTGGCACCCAGCTTTTTTTTTTAAACCATTTTTAAGTGATACCTATTTAGCTCTATATTTATAGATACTCATCTATCTATTATCTATCTATCTATCTATCTATCTATCTATCTATCTATCTATCTATCTACGGGCTTTGAGTCAAAAGGTCTCCAACCCTCACCAGATGTGGACACCAGAACATGACTGGCCAGTCCAAACAACGAGGTCCATTTAATTGGCAAACCAAACTTGCAAGCAATCTGCCTCTCTGCTCTCTGAAATCATAATTGCTGTTTTCAGAGATTCCCAAGAAGAAATAAAACGGTTTCTAATTTCCTGTTGCTGATACAGTTTCTCTAATGAATACCATCAGTTCACAAACACTGCCTTCTAATTCAGCTTGCAGGTGCCGCTTAGCAATCTGCAGTTAAATGCAGACAGGGCCAGGATGAATAGTACAGGAACACACACCTCTCTTCCCTCCTTCCCTCTTTCCTCCTCCTTTTTGCATCCTTCCTTGGCTTGAACACACACGCTCATTCAGCTTACTTGTTCACAGCTGGTGCTCAACCACTCGAGCCACACCTCCAGTCAGGCACTGGGTGGGTTAATTGCACAGAAAAGAGTCTGAGGGATTTTTCTGCCCAGGCTGGCTTCAAACCACAATGCTCAGATCTCAGCCTCCTGAGGAGCGAGGATTACACACACGAGCCATCCGTGCTTGGCTGTGGGAGCTTTCAAGGCCGGATGTGCCGCTCTCAGCGGGTCTACGTGCATTGCAGGGCTCCCGCTGCCCAGCGGGGGAAACATCTGCTGCGGTATTTCTCCAGGCGAGCCGGTGGTCCTGGGGCCTGCCGACTACCATCGAGTGTCTTCTAGTTCAAGGTCCTGCTTCTCCCTCTTAGACAATGAGAATCCCCACACAGAGGGCCCCATGGGGCCAGGAAGCAGCGCTGGTCTTGCGTGGGGCGGGGCAGGTGCTCAGGCTCTGGGCCGCCCAGCGTGAGGCCCTGCTGCCCTCCTCCCTGGCTCTGTGATGTTCTGTTGGGCTCTGGGCTTCGTCTCATCATGGTAGGGCAGGAGGAGGGACATTCTCCTGGGCCCGCCAGCCCCTTCTCTGGCTCCTGCGAGACAAGAGGGTGCCAAGCTCCCCATTCTTTTGAGCGTCTCAATTGGTGCAAGAAAAAAAAAAGCTCACGGTCAAACAGACGTCCCCCATGAGCACTGCAAGCAGTGTGTGTGCGCGTGCGGAACGGGAATCGCGTTCCCCTGTTCTTCCACAGGCCTTGGGATGCCGGCATTTTTCTTTCTTTAAAAAAAAAAAATTCTCTTCAAAGCATAACCTTGGAGAACCACCTGTCCACTGCAGCTCTGGCCTGTCTGTCTGTCCATCTGTACACCGCAGCTCTGGCCTGTCTATCTTCACACCGTGGCTCTGGCCTGTCTGTCTGTCCATCTGTACACCGCAGCTCTGGCCTGTCTGTCTGCACACCATGGCTCTGGCCTGTCTGTCTGCCCACCGTGGCTCTGGCCTGTCTGTCTGTCCATCTGTACACCGCAGCTCTGGCCTGTCTGTCTGCATACCACGGCTCTGGCCTGTCTGTCTGTCTGCACACTGCAGCTCTGGCCTGTCTGTCTGTCCATCTGCACACTGTAGCTCTGGCCTGTCTGTCCATCTGCACACTGCAGCTCTGGCCTGTCTGTCTGCACACTGAGGCTTTGGCCTGTCTGTCTGTACACTGCAGCTCTGGCCTGTCTGTCTGTCTGCACACCTAGTTCTGGCCTGTGTCTGTCTGCACACTGCAGCTCTGGCCTGTCTGTCTGTCTGCACACCTCGGCTCTGGCTTGTCTGTCTGCACACCGCAGCTCTGGCTTGTCTGTCTGTCTGCACACCGCGGCTCTGGCCTGTCTGTCTGCACACTGTGGCTCT